CAGCTCCAAGGAGACCGTGTTTCCCCCCACCCACCCAAAAGGATAGTCACTAGTTGGTTGTTTGACATCCAACAGGGTCAAGGTACAAAATGAGGTAACCTCTGGGATGGCTCAGAGCAGGTTGGATCACAATTAACCTCGACAGGATTCTTAATATTAATATTATTAATAATAATAATCCTTGCATTTGATACAGCACCTTATCACATCTTCAAGACCGTCTCAGAGCACTTCACAGAATACACTGTAAAGTGATTTGATTGTATGTTTTGTGGGCGAAAAATGTGGATCAGAGGAGGATCTGTCATTTCCACAATTGGGGAGTCAAACAGTTGATAGAATTCTATGCAACCACTTAAAATTTAGCATGTAAATAGAGAATAAGGCTATCACAGAAAAGGCGCACGTATATAATAAGCTTCATTGTGAATGTAACCCAGCGTTGAACCAGACATTCAAATGTAAGCACACCATGTGAAAAATCTAAATTCTGAAAAATAATTAAAAAAGGACAGAAGATCTTTCTTTATATGTCCAGGCACCAACACAATATGATGATAATAAACCTTGCATTTGATATAGAGCCTTATCACAATTTTGAGACGTCTCAAAGTGCCTTCACAGAATATACTGTAAAGTGAATTGACTGTATATTTTGTAGGCAAAACATTTGAACCAGACGTCAAACGATACAAAGAATTTGTGATATATCTGATATGTTCACTCACATACTCCAGCTCACAGAGACTCAATTCTTCAAAGGCTGAAAGAGATGATCCAGCTCTGAGGGAGCTGACAGGAAGCAGTAGATAGACTAAGGTAACTGAAAGCTGCTGGCAATTTGAAAAAGCTTAAAGGAATGAGGAAGGCAGAAATCACAGAAGGGAGCAGACAGCAACATAGCCAAATGACATCATTCCCAGTTTAACCACAGCTTAACCAGCGATCCTCTCAGCCTTGCCTCCCCTCACCCTCTTCTGTAACCATTCCCTCATCCTCTAGGTCTCAGACACATATTTCCTTTCTATAATCTCACACTATTGCCTTTTTTTGTCTTGCACCATCAACATCTCTGATCTCATGATATCCTGTCTCCGCCTAATTTTTCCCTTTGTCTTTCTTTCCCCACCCCTTCTCTGTTTGTCCTTATAAACTGCTTCTTCCAACATTGAGTTCTGATGATAGATCATCGACGTTAACTCACTTTCCTCCTTCCGTAGATGCTACCTGACGTGCTGAGCGTTCCCAGCAACTTCTGTTTTTATTTGACATTATTCCTAGGATGCTGCTGGTTCCCGACACCAAGCACGACCGTCATAATGTGACAGCAGCACAGACATTGGGCTGCTACACGGTTGCATTTTGATGAGATTTTTGGAACAAAGACAATTTGCTACCCATTCTTCAGTCTCATCATGTTAACTGACCTAAAAGTTCACCTTTTTCCTGAACAATCTTGCACTCTTGCATCAGGGAAACATATCCAGCAAGAAGCTAGTCTAAGGTGTTCCTAATATTTCAGTTATCAATTTTTCTTTTCTGGTTTCTGTGACAAGAGAGGCAGTATAAAACAAGAATCATTTTAGTCAATGCCGGAAAGCCAATGGTCGTGACACAGGAGCAGGGATATGCTCAGTGAGAACAGATTGAACTCATATAGAGACTTATTTCATAGATCAAAGCTAGCTTTCAATCAGATCAGGTGCATTAATAAAACGATTAGTCCTAAAGGCCTGAATGGCACTAATTTATGATTATAAATATATAATAATTATTTATTATGGCATATTACATATAATATATACATTAGAACTAGTGGACAGCAAATAATCCCACTTTCCACTTCCTTCCTTGCATTCCTTAAATATATTTTGCAGCTCAGATGTTTATCTAGTTCCCTTTTGAACTTGCAATTGATTCACCCAGACAGTCCTCAATTTTGATCCCTCGGATCATGGGAAAGATATCCTTGTAAAAAACAATTTCTCAAACTATATTTTTATTCAAAGTGATGTGGAAGTGACGGGTAAGTGACATCCTTCCAATTGTAAAAGGCGCTGTATAAATGTAAATTGTTTTTGTCATACAGGATAAGCTTTTAAAAAATGAGGAAATGCAAGCGAAAGAACTCAAAATGCCTCATTTTTCTTTGATCATCCCATTTGAAATAAAGGTATATTATTGTAATGAATAGCAATTTGTGATTTGATCTCAAAAACTGATACTCCAAAAATGCTGGTGACATTCTCCCCTAAGTCTCTGACTATCTTCCTCCCCTCACTCCCCAGTATTATATTCTGCATTTAAAAATACAGCTAGCTCATGTTATAAAATTGCCCCAAAACAGGATCCATGCTCTCGGGGGCATTGCGTTCGAGGTATGAGAAGCGTTCCCCTACGAATGTCCAGTGCTAGTTTCACTGTACCCTTTTGAAAAAAATGTTAGTTTACATATAGCTAATAAGACATCATAAAATTAAGAAGAAAGAAGTGACCAAAATAAAATTAATCTCAAACTACAATTTCAAGCAGGATTTGACATCAAGAGTTGGTCTTGAACATGCTCATTGGGACATATGTACTCGTGTAGAGACGTCTCTGCAATCTGCCTACATTGAGGGCTTGGCTACACCAGCGCTGGAGAATAATGATCAAAGAAATGGCACTGGAGTGAGTGGAAACAGTTTTGTACATTGAATAAATTATAAATTAATCTTTCATAGCAACAGCTGCACCAGTCAAATGCGATTTTTTTGCAACCCCAAGCTGAACAGGAGCAGTAAAACTCAGCAAACTTGTTGGTTTCTCAGTGTGGTGGATGGATATTTGTTAAGTCAGGGTATCAAGGGATATGGGGCAAGTCGGGAAATTGGAGTTGAGGTACAGATCAGCCATGATCTTATAGAACAGGCTTGAGGGGCTGAATAGGCTACTCCTGTTCCTATGTTGTGTCTGCCACACAAGGAATCCTGAGATACTCTTCCCATCACTATACCACTTTGCCGAGTGCCCACAGCCTTACAAGTAGATGGCGTAATCCAAGTTTTAGTACAACTAAATAGAAAATAGTGAAGCCTGAGGGAAAATATCAGCTCTTGATAATACAGATTCGCATGAAAGATTATTAATACCGGTTTAATTATCTTGGTGCTGACATTACCATTACACAAGAATTCGTGGGTTTGACCCCTAAGAATTGGATATAGTGAAATTCAGATTGCAGCAATTCTGTCCACTTGTGTTTTGTTTGTTCTCGGGTTTATTTTCTATGAAATTGAATTTAAAAAAGAAATTGTCTTACTGTTTTTAAATTGGTTTTAAATGAACTACAAGCTTGGAGTACAAAAAAACGCCACAAAACTAGCATACATTTTGTGACATGAGAGAGTGAATTAAAGCGCTTGGGATGTCCTCCTGAAGTAAAAGGCACTATATAAATGTAAATTGTATTGCAGTGAATTTGATCGGCTATGCATTGGTAAGACATGCGAATGAGGCAGCTAAGGAGTGCTAAGGGGCATTTATAACAAGAAAGAAAATTAATTCAACTTTCTAAAATCCTTATTGTGACAAATTGATCTTCATGATGGACGAATGGGAAGTAACAAGCTACCTACAGTTGAGGATTAATCAGCCACAATACATGGATCTATTCAATTATTTTAGTAAACGGAGCTTTTTAAAAAGCACTTCTGTCCACACTGTCTACATTGCAAGTGAACTAGTTAACGGAACGTGGGTAGAGCTTTGACATTAATAGCTCGTTGTGGGATGTGGATGATGAACTTTCTGAATGTTAACTACAAAGTGGGATGCTCAGTTGACTTGTGCTACAATTTGTGAGTTTTATTAGTCAAAGAACAATGGAACAGCATCATCCTACACACTGTGAGAAGTGTCATTAAGCTGTTTAGTGCGGGCCCAACGCTTTTAATGATGAACGGCCTTCAAAATAAACTTAAATTAAGACCCAAAACAATAAGACCTGCTACCAGAAGCAGCTGATTCCAACAGCAAGAGGCTGGTGGCTACATTATGTACTGAGGAGAATTATTATGGGACCCAAGCCAGATACCATTTCAGTTTCTTCTACAAAAACTTGCTCCAGATCTATTCTCATTCCTTCTGTAGGTTCTATGTGGCCCACCTAGAATAGGTTTTTCTAATTTCCATAAAATGTAGTTTTAGAGATTTAATCAATTCTTAAAAAGACTAAATTCACAGTGAATTGGCAACTGTTGAAACTGGTCATTGATCCACTGGGACTGTGCGAGAGTCCTCTGTGGAAGGCACACACTCAATTGCATTCACTGTCTCTTAAAAATTACTCACATCATACAACCTCAGAAGAAGCTGCCTTGGTGCTCTACCTGAAAGCTGAAAAACATAGCAAATGGAGTCCTGTAGCTCAGTAGTTAGAGCATTCGCTTTGCAAGCGAGAGACCCGAGTTCAATTCCAGGCAGAGGGCGAAACCTTGGGCAAGTTTCCTTACTCCACACAGAGCCTAATAATAATCCCTCCGAAACCAAAAACAATAATAAATTGGTCATTTTCAATCTACGACTGTTTGTGGGACATTGCTGTGCGCAATTGGCTGCCGCGTTCGCCCACAAATATACAGTCAATTCACTTTACAGTGTGTTCTGTGAAGCGCTTTGGGACGTCCTCCAACGTGAAAAGCGCTATATCAAATGCAAGGATTGTTATTATAAATCTGTGCCTAAGATAAGAATTGGTAAGAAGCGGGTTTGGTGTCACATTTATCAGATGCAGCTCCACCTAACTGCAAGCAGAAGATCAAATATCTCACCGTTCAACAATCACTCAGATACCCCATCAATCTTGTGACAGGTGAACCAGGGTTGACAAATTCAATCTAATGTTTCCAGCACTCACATAGTACAAGTTCAATAAAATTATCCACTCCTACAAGACGAGCACACTTTACACCCAAGCATTGAAAAATGACATTGCATCAATGGATATGCCACCTGCTTACCTGTTATTTTCTTTACAGGTTGAAGGCGGACACTGATAGACTGGTGTGTGAGCAGAGGAGAGGAGGGGAGGGAGCGGGACATTCCTTCCATTATCCTTATGTGTTGCATTCCTTCAGAAACTGGGAGAGGTGGCACTGCGTAATCTGGTTCAAAAGCACAATCGTTCTCGATGCTGGACACACCTAGCAAAATGAAGGGGAAAAAAAGAGCATTAGCCAAAAAGAACACAACAAAAAAAGTACCTTTTAATACAAAATAGGACAGTCTAAAAGAAGTCCTCAGATATTAACAATTCCAGTGACATTTTCAGTTTAAGAACTCAACAATCAGTAATAATAGAAACGGTCATCTGCATGCTTTCATACGTTTTCCTTCAAAGTCAAATATTTGTTTCAGATCGAAGTAGTGGCCACTGGCTTTGTTCAAGAATGATTAGAACTTTAATCTTAAGAAGAAAGGTTGCAAACATGCTGTACAATTTGAAATGAATTTTCTTTAGTTGCCGGTACAAATAGCGCAATAACTACTTTCAGATCATCAGAAATATCCTTTGTTTTGGACTCTAATTTCTTCCGCAAATTCACAATAGAAAACTCCACCCCAAACAAATAGACCCCTGCACCCGTAAGACAAAAATGATTTACAATCATATTATACACATAAATCAATCACCTTACAATGAACTGTGGGCACTGAACCATAAAGGTTCAGATGACACCAGAGTTTTGCTCTAATTGCTTACAATGGATTACTGGTCTGTAATTCACTTACAGGTCACCATTAACTGCCATGTGATGCTTTCTGTGGATTCAGCAATTCCACAGATGCATGGCTTTCTGTAGCTTCTTAAACCGATCATTAATAAAAAAAACTTACATTTGATGGAGTTTAAATAAAAAAACGACAATGGAAAAAGAGAATAAAAATGGATGACAAGAAAGATGAGTACCAATAAAAATGCAAAGCTTTTATTTTACATTAAATAATGTTTTTATGTTTATTTGCAGCAATCCTTAAGAGATTTTATTTTTGTTTAATCTTATCTACATGAATGCTGAATTAAATTAATTGAAGTTAGAACACCGGGATCTGAATATTAAACTGCACCAATCTTTATTGTTTTCTTTGCAAAGTTGCACACTTGATATTTCCTGCCTTTACAATTACCCGTTCCACTTTGTTTCTTAGTGTAAATGTCTGGGTGGGAACTAATTGGACCCTGAACTCCTTCATTTATAAAAAGCAATTCAAGTAAACATGCATACAGCGAGGCAGCCCAATTACAATCACCTTTGGGAATGGGCAGGGTGGGGGAAAAAGAGAGGAGAGGATTGTGGGATCAGCGTGCAGTCAGTTAACTGACCCTCCTGATCTCTTTCAGGAAAAGAGATAGATCCATGAGAATAGTCGTCTCAAGGGCAATGCTGCCAGGCTGCCAGATACATTGACATGTGCCTTTTCAATTAACGAACAATACTGTTATTTTGTCCCTCGATACACCAGCCTTCTGGGATTCCACCAGTCACAGAGAGATATGTGCCAGAGAGGCACAGAGAGATATGTGCAATATCATACCACTGTAAATGGAAAAATTGAGAGAAATCACAGAACCATGTTAACAACAAAACTACTTTTCCAAACATGGAAAATATTTCCTCATTCATTTCAAAATCCTTATAATTAAGAGCTGTTCATTCTCTCCACACGGCAAATAAGATAAGGTGAGTCTAACCACTAGCACAACCTTTTTAACAGTATTCCTTTGAATAGATATAAAGGCCAGCAAACAAGCAGGCTTTAAAATTCAGGTTTTCAAAATGTCTGATACTAGTCTGCTCAGAATCAAACTTCTATCCAGTTCTGAGACTATCTCGTCAACAAAGAGGCACACCCCCAGAAGGACTGTCCTCCTGACATGAATGGTACTATATAAATGTAAATTTGCATTGTATTCTGTGCTCCTCCCACCATACCAGGTGACAGAGAGTTCTTAACCCAGCATTGTTTGCAGGTAAAAAAAAACGCCGTCACCTTCAGCTCCTGAACTTTGTAAATGATCTACGGCAAGAGGGCAAGAGAAGGTATTGGGAATCTTGCTTGACAGAGGATATATCCAGGTTAGCTCCCCAGTATTCCAGAACTTAGACCAGAAATATGGCAGCCTCCTCTAGACTGTGGACATAGAATCAATCTCCCAATGATCAATCCTTGGACAATGGCCAAATTGCCAACCTCTGAATACAAGATCCATTTGTGTGTCTGCACTTTGTTTCTAACTGAATGTGCTTGCCTGATTTTGTGCCATTCCCCAGTGAGATATTCAGTTGACAGTTTTACAAGTTCAGTTGGCATCAGTGCCACAATTCCAGAGTTTTAAATCAGAGCACTAGGGCTAAACACTGCCTACATTGTTTTAAATACACAACCAATGTCATATCGCCAGTTAGCACAGAGAAGTCCTTGATCTCCAAAATCATTCAGGGTCAGCTCAGCCACCCATGCAGTACTGGGAATGTATCACTCAAACAGTCTCTCAGATGGATTATGGGGCTCGGTAGTTTGGAGGACTGTGAACCATGGGGGAAGGGAGAAGTGGGGGGGATGTTGCTTTGGATCATTTTACATTGATTTATGTTCTGTTGTACATTGAACGTTTACATTTAGCATTCAACATGCATCAAGACAAAACCACAATTCCATAACGCAAACACATTAAATCATAGCAGTTACTTTTGATAATTTGGTATTAAATTATTTATAAAGGATATTCAGCCCTAATCTAACAAAAAAATACGACTGTAAGACAGAATCCAGCGACAGAAATATTTATTCAATTTATGGGCAAGCGCTCTCTAAGACAATAACAGAATAAATATTGAATCAAACAACATAACATCCAATTTATATTCAACAGGACCTTATCAGGACCAGACTATCTGAGCAGGATTTGCAAGCTTGACTTCAAATACTGTAGTAATTACTACTGCTGCAAACATAATTCCTTCAACTGCTATAACATTTTGTATTCAAACGAACAAGATTTGTTTTTTAAGCTTATTTATATGAAAGTGAATTAAACAATTCTTTATGGCTAGACTCATTTCTATAAACCCTATAGTACAATATTCAACATCGGAAAACTGTCTTCAGAGGTTAATAGAAAACCTGAACTTTTGGAAGTTGCAAGACTTCTCTGGTGTTCAGGGGTTAACAGAAACACGCACGATTTCCATCAACTTTCACATTGTGATTAATTTCAGACTTGGCTGAAGCTTGCAGTAAAGAAAGTTTCAGAAAGCTGTAATTGAATCGAATGAAAAAACTATTCCTCAAATTTTGAGAAAAACATTCTGCGTGGTACAACTGCACACCTACTGTTATCCCTCACTACAGGAGGGCACTTACCTCAAATTATTCTCTAGTTTAAAACATAGATTCAATAAAATCCAAACACAATGCAATAGGAAATCAGAGGGAAAACAGGCAAGTAGATTCACAAAAGGTCAAAACAATTGGTTTGAAAAACAGAGGTACAAGAAAAACACAGAGCACATATACCTGACCTGAATGGGTCACCGTCAGCACAATGTGTTGCTATAAAGGCAGAATAATGTAATATAGAAGCCCAGCAACAACATGATGCCCTAAAAAGCCACGCCTTTCATTTGCTTACACTATACCATTCTGACATTACTCTAAATTGCTGGAGCTTAGTTTTTCTTGGATTGTGTCCAGGAATCCAGTGTATCCTCCGCAATGAATATTAATAAAAGGACACACATCCTGATAACTTTACTCAAAGCAACAGATTTCTACATGGTGAATTACACAGACACATTGAATTCAATACATCCTCAGAGTTCAAAATGTACAAATCATCCTTTGCATTTTATCTTTAGAAATACTTTAAATGAATGAAATGGAGCTGCTCATCACATACCTGTGTAAGCGTGAGCCCCACGAAGTGTGCAGTGTAGTGTATTTATTTATGAAGGACAAACAAATGAATAAGCTAGAATTACACACAGCGTCAATGAGAACACTCGGCTCACTCACAGGCTGATTTACAGCAAGGATCCGCACGAACATTTAAAATTGTAGCAATGACTCATTCTACAAACAGATTGTGATTCTCATTACACTCGGAATATGGCAGTTAGTATTCGGAAGATAATTCACTGCTGAAAGTTTAGAAAAAGAGTACTGTTGCTTTTAACATATCTGCATTTTTACCCTCAGCCCTCATTCGTCTGACAGCACAGAACCTTCAAGTAACAAAGGGCATGTCAGTAACAACAACTTGCAATATAGCACCCTCCATGCAGGGTAGCGTCTCAGAGAATTGTGTTGTATATTATGTCAGACATTATTATGGAGTCAATGTCACTACAATAGGTGGTCTGAGTTTAAAACTCAGCAAGTTCAAATATTTTTGACGCTTTGTGTTTCACATACACACCTCCAGGTCGGCGGTAAATTCATCTTTACAAAGTTTTAAATTAGCTGAAAGTGGGAGAGAAAAAAAAAAACAGAAAAGCATTGATATGTACATGCAATTTCTAGAAACAGCCTGAACGAAAAGCATCTCCATTTAAACAGGAACTAATTCCAAGTGGTGAAGTCGGTCATTGCATTACTTGACTTCAACTTGCATCCAAAATGAGACCACGTTTAGCTCTTTTACAATAAAGAAAAACATGAGTTTGCAGAGACGACAACAACATGAGTTTAAATCGTGCAAAAATATTGCCTCAGCCAATGTGCATCTGAACCTGGGGAAGCACTCATTGAATGAAACTGTTTAATAATAATAATAATAATAATCCTTGCATTTGATATAGCGCTTTTCACGTCAGGAGGACGTCCCAAAGTGCTTCACAGAACACACTGTAAAGTGAATTGACTGTATATTTGTGGGCGAACGCGGCAGCCAATTGCGCACAGCAATGTCCCACAAACAGTCGTAGATTGAAAATGACCAATTTATTATTGTTTTTGGATTTGGAGGGATTATTATTAGGCGTGTTGAGTAAGGAAACTTGCCCAAGGTTTCGCCCTGTCTGGAATTGAACTCAGGTCTCTCGCTTGCAAAGCGAGTGCTCTAACCACTGAGCTACAGGACTCCACTTGTTTGACCACCAAGGCTGCTCCTTCACATCTCATCTGTAATTTGCTCCTTCAGTGACTCCACCCACCACAGAGAAAGTTCTTTCTGACCCAAAGGTCATCAGGCAACTCTGAATATCTGTGCATTTTACGGCCACCAATCGTACTGCAACTGTAAGCTTTCCATAAATGGCATTTGCACAAAGCAGTGCAGGAACCAATCTCTATATTTCAGCAGGTCTCTCTCTCTCTCTATATATATACACACACACACACACACAGAGAAACTGAGAGCATTCAGTCCTCCTTCTACGCTGTAGGTTTCTGTATATATGTCTAAGATTTACAGTACAGAAGTTGGCTGTTTTTCCCATTATGTTTGCTAGCTGCCCCGCTAGAGGTATCTAATCATTCTGTTCACCCGCTCTTTAACCAACTTTCTTTGTTTTTCCACATGTCGTTTTGTTTAAAGAAAAACAGCAGAACCAATATAATACCTGTAATATTCTCCAAGGATTTGATCTGATTGCAGTCCTTTGTACTAAGCATTTAGCTGTTAACAAATGGATTCAATCTGTACTTCCTTCCAGGTTATATAGTCAGCTATTTTAAGAATTTAAAAAGCTGGTGGCCTTTTAACAATGGGATGGAGAAAAGATAGACCCACATGTTTTATTAAAAACGTAACCAATGTGTATTTAAATATTTATGCTTTTAAAAGTCACATGTCTATATTATCTACAAAAATGAGGCAGCAATGCTACCAAATACCACAAAAGGCCAAGTTCACAGCAATGTGATCAACTCAGACCTGCTGTTGTACTGGTGCACTGAAGACAACTGGACTTAAAGATCAGTTCCTGCACTGAATCTAGTTTGCACACAACTGTCAACCTAATAGTCAGGCGCAGATGGAAAATCCAAGTGAATGAGTTTTATTCCGAATTGTGTCCATTTTAATAATAATATTGTGCAAAAGCACATTCAATGTAAACTTTCCAATATATTTGCAGTTTTAAATTAACAAACTCTACATTTTCCCCAATTTGAGTACTGTGCAGACAGGGCAATGTAATGAAGTGTGGACACATTTCACCAGCACCCACATTACAACTGCTGTATAACAGTTCACTGTAGAAGGCCATTGATTTTGAACAGTCTTGTACAGTCAGAAATAGTCAAAATCTTCAACTAATGAAAGTTGAGGCTGATTACTGAAGTATTTCAGGAACTTTTTTCCCTCTATAAATTGAATCTTGTTGTTGTTGTTGTACTTGAATTAGCTTGGTGTGTCACAGCACTCCTTGCTATCCGAAATTCTTGTTCCCAGTGTTCAAAGTACTTTCAGGATCGAATTTATGAAACATAAAATAATCCATCAACTACATGGCTACAATATCGTAAACCAGTGGGGCCATTCCAATTCCTACAAGATATACTCTGTAAAATTCACTGCCCTTGCATTTTACTCTAGGTTTGGGACACATTCATTACCTTGTCCAGGTCTATTCTGTCGAGATTCTAAATTTGTTTGTCTCCGCTCTGACTGCTCCTCATTCCCACCATCTGTAAAACACAAGTGGCAAAGGTATGTTAACAGTAAAACTGCTATGGCTGTCCTCTTATCTATAGCATCAGGTCTCATTACAGGATCAGCACACAAAGCCGACTGCACAGCTGTCAAGGACAAAGACTGCCCAGTATCTATTGCAAATTAATTATACACAATACTATACACTGCTAAACTCATATTCTAAAATTCCTGTTGGTTTTAGTTTTCATAAAATGCAGCAATCATAGCTACACAATGTTGCAGCTGAGCCCAGGCTGAGCTCACTCGGGCTCTAACCTGGCATCCACAGTGTACGAAGAAACAAAATTCAAGTTGGTTTATAACCTACAAGTGCATTGTCTGATGTTGGGTCTGCAGCAGAGGGAAGGAGACATTCAATGATTTGAGTCTGTCATTAATTAAATGGATGCTATTCAGGGGTTGATTCCCTTCAGTCTGCATCTAAGCCCTTTAGTCCCAGAATGATAGGAATGAGAACATTTGATCAGGGAATACACAGTCAATTTAAGTGGCAGATACAATATACAGGATTTTGAATAATACACAGTATAGTATGTACAGCATCCTCTCGCTTGCAAGAGGACCTGGCTTCGATTCTCGTGCAAGGCAAAACGTTGGGCAAGTTCCCTTACTCCACACGTCTCAGTTCACCTTGCAGTAAGTAGGAACTCGGTTGTTAGTCGATTGGTGGATTGCTTTTCTGAGGTAATAATCCCTTAAACACATAATAATTTGGTCACTCAATCTGCTGTGTGCAATTCGCTGCCGCTTTTCACCCACAAAATATACAATCAATTACAGTATATTCTGTGAAGCTTTTTGAGACATCTCAAAGACGTAATAAAGAGCGCGATCAAATGCAAGTATTATTATTATTATCTGCAGGACACAATCTCAAGGAGTGGATCCACTAGGTGGTGCTCCTGTGCATAAACACTGTGCAAAACCAGTTTATAATAGACTACCTGCTCACTGGTTGACACTGTTGTACTAAATTTATTTGCCTTCACCACAATGAGTAGGTTCTAGGTTTACATTTTCAGATTTCTCTAACCCAATCTTGTAGGATTTGACCTAATCATTTTATTGTTCCATTTAATAGCATTTCACCTGACACTTTGCCATTGATTATTGGAAGTATGGCTAATAGATGACCATAATAAATCGTGAAATTAACTTGTTTTGAACAGAAAAATGATGGTGTCATCATCTGATAATGTTCCCAGCTATTCATTTGCATGTTTCACAGAAGCAGGAGGGATCCACCTAGACCAACATGCACATTTACATACAAGTAATGAATTAACAAATATTTTGGTACATCCGAAGGTTTGATTCATAGAAGCACCTTACAATACACAAAAGCAGTTTTTATTCTCCTTTTTTTAAGCGCACAAGAGAGAAATTATGATCACTTTTAGGATGCCAGCTAGACTCACACTCGTACACCCTCCTCCGTGGCTAAATGGTCCCTGCGCTAGCCAATTCAACTCTCAGCTCTTTAGCATGTCATAAATGCATGTCATACATTCACATTGATGTAACCTGCAGGAGTGAGTCTCTATTAGCAGATGAAAAGAAAGCAACGCCAACAGAATACATGCTCACTGCCTGCCTGTCAGCCATCACCAAAGATCTACAAGTCAACCAGAAGATTTTGTTCGAAGCTTGGACTCCTGCGCAAGTCCACAATACAAATTGTAGTTACTTTATCCACAACATTGTTATGAAACACTTTGAATCTAGGTGCCACCCAACCTAAAAACAATGCTCTTACGCATTGTGATTCACATTAAAAGTTAAAAGTTTTAAGAAACCTGTTTCAATTTTTGAAACAATGAGTAAATCTGAAAAGATATGCTGATTTATCAGCAGCTTAATAGGATGTGAACCAAGTGATGAGGAGATGGTGGCAATCAGAATTTTTTAATTTCATTTTTAAGAGGTCAATTTAGCTTGTGTGCAGTCCCACTCTGAGGAGTCGTCAAGGCAACATTTACAGTACAATTTAACTTGCTGTTTAGGTGGTTTCTGGAGAGAAAGGCCGATGGAGTTCATAAAAACTTAAAGCACTCCTTGGATTCAGAATGGAGATCCGCAGTCTGTCCACAATGACCCCACTCACTAGTTTAGTAATCTTTCAATACACTGGAGATTTGCACTCATCTTGCAGCACACAAAATAAGTGACAGATTATAAATCATGCATCGTTAGAGATCGTCAGTACACTCGGCATCGAGAAATGCTGCCTGAAATGAAGTCTCCTTGGAATGCAATCCGTTACCCAGGCAACGCCATCCCTGTGCAGTCCATTCAGGACAGAACATTTTCTGCTTTTATTTTTAAACCGATTTTCATATTAGAGGTTCAGAAATTTTTAAAAAAATACATGAAATTATTTCGAACCATCTTCTACTAAACATTATTGTTTAATGTAATGCTTTCTACATGAACATGGGCTTCCGGTGCATGAAGACCCCAGATCTCTGCAGTTGGTTGGTGGATGTGGATTCCTAATATTTCAGGTCATCTCCAATTTTACTGACCTCCAATGTCTTTGCCTTGCTTCCTCCCTTGCCCCATTCAAGGCACATCTCAAGACTCTCCTTTTCGACCGTGCCTTCTGCCACCCTCCTACCCCTATCCTCCCTGCCCTCCACCCCTCCTGATCCCAATCCCCTGCTTGGGTCCAAATCCCTGACTGTCCAGCGCCTCCCGATGTGAAACGCGCTGAATAAATGCAACTTCTTCTTCTCGTTGATGATGGAAAGCTATACAGAAGATCGAATGGAGTAGATATCTGACCCAACACCTTCTATACAGAAAATGCTCCAGGTTCTTGCATAGAAATACAGCATCTTTCACTTGTATAGCACAGATATTACCACAATCTCATTCATCTGCTTTTTACATTCTAACACTCTCATTCATTTTGAAGGAACCACGTGATCTTGCTGTTGCCATGGGATTTCATCAGGATCAAGGCACATTGTCACGATTACAAACTATTAAGTAATCATTTGGAAACAGCTCGGTTGCCATTAAATTGTCCTTGCATGCAAGCTGCTCTTTAGTGCTATGGGATCTTTGACATCTACCTGAACAGGCAGACAGGACCTTGGTTTATTGTCTAAAGGTGCCTGTTCAGGTGGACATAAAGATTCCATGGCACTATTCTAAGAGAAGGGAGTTCTCCCGAATCCCCCAAATAAAATTGGCAATTCACTCAATGACTGTTTGTGGGAAACTGCTGTGCACAAACTGGCTGTCAAATTTTGCCCTCAAAGTACACAGTCAAATCACTTTACAGCATATGCTGTGAAGCGATTTGAAATGGCTTGATGACGTGATAGGCACTATATAAAACAAGAATTATTCTTATTTTTTAGCGGTTTAATGTCAGTATATTTGTAAATATATTGAGTTTCGCCCACAAATATACAGTCAATTCACTTTACAGTGTATTCTGTGAAGCACTTTGAGATGTCTCGAAGACGTGAAAAGCACTGTATCAAATGCAAGGATTATTATTTTATTATAGTAAAATACCATTTGTTTCCTGACTATCTTGTCCCCCTTTTACCACAAACTAGCGTGAACCATTACAGCAGTTATTACATCTCTTATTTCCCCTAAAACAATGTCAGATATTCTGTCAAGGCGCTGTCCAGCTACTAATTGCCTTTGTCAGTTGCAACCAATAGTTCATGAAATAAATGCAAAATTGCGTGAAGGGCACTATATAAATGCAAGCAGCAGTTGTAATCTGGTAAAACTAGACTTTTTGAGCTTCAGGATCCTGTCTTCCCCATCGCTCACCAAGAGTTAATTTGTGAAACAGGAGCCTGTGTGATACGGATACTGCTTGGGGGTACGCCACCGTCATAGTAGAATGATGCCAAATCCTTGAGGATTAATTCACGTCACCAATGTGCTCTTTCCATTTTTACCCAGGGTGTTGCACTTGATCTGCCTGCAGTTTAATCGGAAATGTAAGCTCAGAAGAGGAACAAATATTGTAGGTTGCTTTCAACTCCTCGCTGCTTTCTGATGCAGTGCAGGAACCTTTTGAATCAATGAATTACTGTAGGCTGTTAATTAATGCACCGAGCTACTCAGAAAGGGTTTTCAAAACCAACTACATTTCTTTGGGGCATTGATCAAGTTTCCTGTGCTTATTAGCATCTTGCTTAGCTGAGACACTGTACCAGTTTTCGCACTAGCTACCATTGGGTAACTTTCTTTACCTCCCCAACTGATCAGCGAGTCTCTTGATTACACCCCTGGGGTGATTAATCTGCAAAAAAAATGCATTTAAGCCACTTAAAGTCGCTTTCCCTCACTACAATTTATTCTGTGCTAACGTCATTGCTAAACTTTGGCAAAAAGTAGTCATTAACCACAAGTGCCACTGCATTATTTTGGACCCCCAAAAAAGCTGAAAATACAATTTACAGCAGCACTTTATTTCTCCCACACATAATTTCCTCCTGTAGCCACTTACACCCACCCACGGAGACCATATTAGAAACATAGGTTGGCATGAGCTGGATGCAGTATAGAGAATTTTCTCCACTAAAAGTCTAAAACTTATTGAAGTAAAGATCACAACAACAACAAAATTACATTTGTATAGTGCCTTTCACGTTGGGAGATCAAGGGATGGGGGGAGGAGGGGGGGAAATTGCAACAAACATCTGCCTGTTTTGTTCAATTTCTCCCTTCCACCCTTTGTTCTACAGTATTAACACTTCTATTCCATTGCTTTGTAGCAACCCCCCACTTTGTTTTGCATCATTAACACTCCTTTAACCCATCATCCCCTGTCCTCTACCCCATTTTCTGCTTTGTCTTCCTTGCCCCGACTCCCCCCCTCTCTGTTCGCCCTTAAAAGCCTCTCCCTCCCAACCTGCCGCAGTTCTGACGAAGGGTTGTGGACCCGAAACATTGACCCACTTTCCTTTCTCCATAGATGCTGCCTGACCTGCTGAAC